TCTACAGTAGTGTACAGCTGTGAAACCCTAACTTACCATTTCCACAGTAGTGCACAGCTGTGAAACCCTAACTTACCATTTCCACAGTAGTGTACAGCTGTGAAACCCTAACTTACCATTTCCACAGTAGTGCACAGCTGTGAAACCCTAACTTACCATTTCTACAGTAATGTACAGCTGTGAACCCTAACTTACCATTTCCACAGTAGTGCACAGCTGTGAAACCCTAACTTTATCCAAGTTTACACATACAAAAGGGAGTAAGGGTATTTTAGAGCAAAACAGAAACATTAATTCGAAGGCAAAAAGTTTCTGAAAAACAAACAGTCTGCTCTTGACTTGTCCAAGTTGACATTCTAGTCCCATCTGTTATTTAGCTAAATCTAATTATGATTTTCTTAAATCCAAACTGACATTCTAGTCACATTTTTACCTCTGCTATCGTAGGTGACGGAGACTATGTGTTCACCCCTGTGTTTGTGTTTATTTGTGTGTGGCTTTGTCAGCAAGATTTCTCGAAAACGGCTGAATGAATTTAGACGATAGTTGGTATACTTTGGGAATATGACCCAACTTAGAAGTGATTAGTTTATGGAGGTTAAGTTGAAAGGTGAAGGTCACAACAAAGTTACGAAAAAAAATCCTATGTGTTAACATGGGGATTGATTTTTCACACACTTTTTGCTCTATAACTCAGTCAAAAACGATCAAATTTTGAAGAAACTTGGTGGGCTTATGTAGAATATCATTTCTCATTGTCCTGCTAAAAATGATCAGTGTCTGTTGATAACGACGAACATACGGACACATTATCGTATTTTTTGAGGGCCGAATAGGATGAACGCTGCATGGCGGAGGTATGCACTCTACTGATTGCCCCTCTATTTATATGTTATTTAGCTTAATCTTAATGTTATTTTTAAGTCCAAGCTGGCATTCTAGATACATCTTTACATCTGTTATTTAACTTAATTTTAATGTTGTTTTTAAGTCCAAGCTGGCATTCTAGATACATCTTTACATCTGTTATTTAACTTAATTTTAATGTTGTTTTTAAGTCCAAGCTGACATTCTAAATACATCTTTACATCTGTTGTTTAGCACAATTTTAATGTTGTTTTTTAAGTCCAAGCTGGCATTCTAAATACATCTTTACATCTGTTATTTAGCACAATTTTAATGTTGTTTTTAAGTCCAAGCTGGCATTTTAGATACATCTTTACATCTGTTATTTAACTTAATTTTAATGTTGTTTTTAAAGTCCAAGCTGACATTCTAGATACATCTTTAAATCTGTTATTTAGCTTAATCTTAAACTCAGAGACTGGAGTGATCACTCTACGAACTCTTGAAGAAATGGATAGAGAACGAATTCCGGAGTATACACTGATTGTGGAAGCTCGAGATAACCTTGGCAGAGGCAATAAGAACGTCGTGGAGCTGCTGATTCGTCTTATGGATGCCAATGATAATGTGCCAATTTTTCTGCAGCCTCGTTATGATGCTGTTTTAAACACCGACATGAGGTCTTTCAATCAGAGATTAATAGTAAAGGTATAGCTGTCCCTTAATTAACAAAGTCATTCAGAAACTAATAGTAAAGGTATAGCTGTCTCTTCATTAACAAAGTCATTCTGAAACTAATAGTAAAGGTATAGCTGTCTCTTCATTAACAAAGTCATTCAGAGACTAATAGTTATGATATAGCTGCCCCTTCATTAACAACATCATTTAGAGACAAATAGTAAAGGTATAACTGTTCCTTTAATATCCATGCTATTACCTGAATCTTCTCAGTAACACCTCTTGAATTGTCCTGTACAAATCCATCACTCAGTAGCAAGGTCTTCAATAGGGAAGGTGAAACAACTGCATTAATTCATTCATGAAAGATATGAAAATGTTCAATTAAAAGATTCTAATTATTTATTTATTCATTAAATTTAAATATTATTTTCATTGTACATGTAATAATTTCGTTTGTCTTATTTTAAATTTATGTAAATATTTTTTTTATTCATTATAAAATAATTTAAAATATTTAAATCAGGTTTTTTTTATCAAACCATTAAATATTAGTTTTTGTACTAATATTTTAATATTAGGTATTAAGAATTGTATATTGCTGCAAATTTTACACTTTTTATGAAATTGTGAAAATATGATACTTCGGTGAGGGGATTTTATATATTTAAAATGAGAAATAATTTCTTTCATGAAACATTTTAATATTACTACAATTATTAATCATCATAATATCTAAATAATGAACTTCAGTGTCTGATATGGAGCTATTTTCGATTTGAAAAACTGCAGGATTTTGTTACCAATATAATTATTAATTTCAAATAAATCTGGATATGTAAAATTATTTGTAAATTTATTTTTGTAGACAGTGGTAAGATGTGGGAAGTTTTAGGCTTGAGTATCCACATCTGCTCCTTTTTTATTTTTAAGCATTTGAGGTTAAACCAGATAACGGGGTACCACCAATATAATTTGCGTCTTACTTCTGCCAGTACCTGAAAGCCAGGACACATTGCATAACGACCCACCTTATGGTTTGTGCCCCAGGATTGGATGTTTATTTTGTGGGTTTTTTTCCCCAGAAAATTAAATCCAAGGTTTGGATATGCTATGTTCACGCTATCCCTCCTTTTGATATATATATCTGTCGCAAATATCTTGCAGCTTATTTAAAACATATATGTATATATACTTATTTATCTATATATATATATGGCAGATTTTGTT